AAATGCTATTATTTAAATTAACTTCTGCTTTTTTCTTTCTCTGCTCTTTTCTTTTTAACTTTTAACCTACATAGCAATATGATAAATACATTTTCCGTCTTTAAAAGAGATAAAAAATGATATCAAAATTTAATGTTTACGGCGACAAGAATAAAAGCTCGGAACGCTTTTATATGCTTTTAATAACACAATATAAAATCATAACTTGAGCAATAAAAACCTGGAACAATATCCGATTAGCTATATCTAATGATAAAAGAAAGCTGCAGAAATCTTTAGTCGTATCAATACTTATCAAGAGGAAATTTTACCTCTTTTTTTCCCCATCGTTTCGTACAAGCCATCAGTATTGCTCTCCTATTAGGGTCAATTATCCCATAAACCGGAAGTTCCGTGAACCTATGATCGGCTTAATACGATTGATTTTTCCATGAACAAAGAAACGAAGTCGGAGAAAGAGGAGTCATTATAGGTACTAATGCGGAAAGTAATAAAACGTATTTTAAGGGGATGAAAGATGAAGAAGATGGAAAGGGTGGAGGGATGAGGGGTCTAAGAAGAAGCAGTCGAAGGTAAGATGGATAATTGAAGCGAGAACGTAGAACGACGCCGGAAGTTCCCAGTTTCCTCTCGCCGGAAGTTTTACGTGAAAGTTTAATCGTAAAGGGAGAAAGAGAGAGAAAGAGACCGTGCCCGATAAGAGAACGACTGGATGGACGTTATCGAATCGCAAGTTAATGAGCATTATGCGATAAAAACGTCTTGGTCTGGAGCATGACCCGCGGCAACCAGATCTCAATGGTTTAAAACGCCATGAAAGCGCCATAAAAACGTCCTTCATAAAGATCTCCGCGAGCACGAGCTTGGTACCGTCACTGTGAATTGTAGATGCCATTTTACCTCTTGGCTCGTTACCTACCTCGACTTGTTAAAGAAAACTTTCGGAATTCTCTCTATAGCGTCTCGCTTGACATCTTATCAGGGAACAAAGCAGCTCGATATGGGTCAACCACAAGCGAGTTCGTTCCCCGCAACTCGTTGACTACAAATAATAAGTATTTCAGCTAACAGAAAGAGCGGCTTTCTCGTCGGAAAATATAATATATAATATATATATTTTATCATAATCGTGAAAACATCGTGCCTGACAAATTGTACAAAATGTGACAAAAGCGCGATCATTTTCAAAACGGCAACGTTAAGAAACAATTTATTTAAACTTGCAATAATTTCGTAATGTACTTGTATATACATATGATATCTCTTTTAAATATTAGAATTATTATTATTATATAGAATAGAATTAGAATAATAAATAATAGAATTTTAATTTTTGATATATTAAACAATTTGAAGAAAGAAGAAAAATAGAACACTTTTGATAATGAAAATAATGTTTATGTAGATACAAATATATCAGAAAGAACGTCCCGTTGTCTCAATTTCTTTACATATCTGCTGAAAGCAGCGGTCGAAATTTTTCACTAGAACTTGGTCGGATATGGAAGACACGCGCGCGATAAGGAGCAATTATTCACGTTCCGTTTTACTCTTTTGCAGGACGGCGGCACGGAGTCCTGTTACAGGACGACTCTGCGCTTCGAGACGATTCAGTGGACCCACGCGGGAGAATGGCTGCTGCTGGTCCGCTCGTCGGAAGGGATCGCCGACGCTTCCGTTTTACTCAACGTGACGCACGCTTCCGGTTACAGCCATGCCCACATCCGTTCGGCGAGTATCACGTACCTTCTGCTCTGTTTGACCCTGCAGGCGATCCTGCGGGAGCACCGTCGCTGAGACGACCGCCCGGTGGAGATTTAAGCGGAAGAAACTTTGGCAAAATTCCTAGCGATACGGAAAGCCCGTAAGTCAGCTTTCCCAGTGGCGAGAGGAAGCTTCTCTGTATATTCTCCGAAGGAATGTCCCCCCGCGCGATTCTCGCGTCAACGAGAAGACGCACACAATACGCCCGACATGCCGCGACGCGACACTCGCGTGTCTACGGCATTACGCGAATACAATGAAACGATGACGGAAGCTCCGGCGACGCGCCTTCGGCGCGGATTATTACGGCCTCGGTGTTTCTCGAATCTCGTAACGGGTGTCCCTCTTGTTCTACTCCGGTACGCGATTCCGGAAGACGCGTTTACGTTTAACGTACGATCGCACGAAGGCGCGCCTCAGGCAAGCCTGCGCGCGTCCGCAACGAACGAGTGTGATCGGGACGCACGATTAAAAATTGAATTTCTCTGGCCTTATGTGTGAGAATATAGTCGAGGGAAGGAAGAGATCGCGCGGGCAAACGGGATACGTATTTATATAGAGTGAAAATTTGTAAACTATGAATCTGCGCGCGCGATACGACGCGCCATACGACGTGTATATACTTGTATAGGTAATAAATAAATAAGCCGGTGTTTGCGAATCGTGGAACGGCGTTCCCGCGTGTAGGGATCAGAACGAAACGGAGACCAATTTTTTTCTTCCCTCCCCCCTCCCCGTCTCCCCTCCCCGGTTCTTTCTTGCCGCTCGCGAGTTTCTCGCGAATGACAGGGACACGACCGTCAAGTCGGACAAACTCGGATGGATTGATCTTTGTGCCGAACTGCGATCCATTAAGGGAATCCTAAAGCCGCTGGCGAACTCGGTCAGTGTCGATAAGATAAGAGACGGAATTAAAAACGTCAATTATCGACATTTTTAATTCCAAGTTCAAAGTTTTTAAATTCGGTCCGAGAAATTTATAGCCAATTTGCAACTTTTACGAAAAAGCAGCAATTTTATTAGCTGCACATTGCTCAGACCGAGATTTTGGATCGAATTCTAACATCGTCAACACCATGGTTCTACTGACAATCTGATAGATGTTTGGCAGCGACCTCTCTCAAAAAAGCCTGCTGCTCTTTTTCTCTTCTTCTAGACTTGGATTTCTGGACTTGCATTTATTAGAGGTAATCGTTTTTCTAGGCTCTTAATCTTAGTTCTAATTGCATGATAATGATTTTATATGTTGTCCCTAGAGTATGCTGGTCGCATTTTGTATATATTTCTTGTAGAATTCTTGTATCAAGCAAACATTGTCGTCAAGTGCACCAACAATTAGTAATTTTTTTTTTGTTTTTGATATAAAGTCGACCAGCACAGTTTAGATTTTGCTGCGTACTTTAATTCCGCAAAAGAGTTTTGCATTTCTATAAAGCCAATTAAAAGATTACTTGTAACAAAGAATGCCGATAAAACAGACGGCTTTAGGATTCCCTTAATACCGCGACACGAGCCCGCGACGCGCGAGTAAAAGATACGACGAGCGAATACCGCTCGTGATAGTAACGAAATAATAAGGTTCGAGCCGGCAGGCTGGTCTGACACGATAGAATAAAGACGTGATTGCAGATTTTAACGAGGGACACAGGGCCGAATCTCCAGCACGCCCAGGACGAAGGTGCGTATGGGCTACCGGACGAGAGAAACTTAATTGTGCAACGTCAAATATTTCCAATGATAGGGCGACTAAAAATAAATTGTTGTATATTATTTAGAGTAAGTAGAGTTTGATAGTATGTATATAGTGACTGTAAATGCGTAGGCTATCGTACGCCCGTACACGACGAATTATACAGTGACGCTGTTAGAGATATATTTATTATTCGTTGATATATTTTTATAAAGTTTTATTTAGCCATAAGTTCTCGTTCGCCTTCCCTCCCCTCCCCCCCCTCCTCCCTCCCGAATCTCGTTCGCACGATCACAATGCTCGTTTCGTTAATTGAGGCGGAGGAGCAAAGCGGCGGTGGGCGCTTTGTGTTACGAACTTTTCAACGAGAACCGTTACAATAAAGTACACTGTGTCCTATGAACGTCCTAAATTGAATTTAGCTGTAGAGCTCATCGTGAGAAACATGGACATTGTTGTCTTTGCGATATTTTGATCTATATTCGATTGGAAACGCGGGACGTAGGCGCGACGTAGCGGTCCCGTTCCGATCGATTCCGCTTCTTTCGAGCATCCTTAAGGTAACTCTCTTTCTCTCTCTCTCTCTCTCTCTTTCGTGAATTCGGTGGTTCCTAATTTTTGTAAAGATAGAATTTGTACTCGGCTTACTGGCGGCTAATCGCTAATCTTTGCCGCCGGTACGTCTTTACCAGCGCGCGTGACCGCAGTCGGTACTATCTATAGATACGAAATAAACATACCTGATGTCTTCATGTTAATTTAGACGACTTTGACGAACCCGAGTTTTTTTTCAGATCGCTAAGGTGTTACAAGTAAGCAACGTGGTGTAATCGTTGTACCCAATGATGCCTAAGAGTCCAATAAATAATATTTACAATAATTGCAGTGTATGTATTTACGACACATCCTTTATCGCGATCGATGCTCCGCGTTTTCCCGCCCCACTTCGACCCTCTTATCTTTGTCCATAAATAATATATTCGACGCGAGTCGTTTGCGTTATACAGGATGTCCCAGGAAGAAATATTCTGGGTCGATATTCTGGGAGGTGATAGTATCGGTCATTTTAAGCAAAAATGTTCATATGAATACACGTCCCCACTGTTTCCGAGATAGAACTATTTGAATGTCTCGTGTATTTACTATTTTCTGTAACTTCACCCTTCATTCAACTTCATGAACGTCTGCGGGAATTTACTCTTATACGTCTGTCGACTGTTATGCTGATAACATTGTAGAAATGTTCGAGATGCCTCATACAAGAGTTGAAAGATGCATTGTTGTTAACGGTGGAATTTTTGAAAATTTATTATGATCTGCAAAAATGTATCACTCGAACAATAAATATTAGAAATAGTACGTAGTATTTCTCTCTTGTCAGCAATTTCGCAACTGTACATTTAAATAGCTCTATCTTGGAAACAGTGGAGAATGGGACATATATTCATATGAACATTTTTGCTTAGAATGACCGATACTATCTCCTCCCAGAATATTGACCTTTCTTCCTGGGACACTCGGTATAAGCCAGAGATTCGTTATTTATTCCGTTAAGTTGGGTATTGAATTCGCCATTCCCAATAGTTCATTTCGATCGCATCTGTTCGACAACTTTGAACGGCCGGAACTACGTCGTAAGACCAGTCGAAAGAAGGAAAGATTTTGTGGTGCGTATAAAGATAACGAAACTTTGAAGGATTTCTTCGCGAGATGTTCACGAGAAGAACACGGATTGGGTCTCTCTAATAAAATAAGGTGAATCCGAGATCCTCGGGTAAGCTCTAAATGGAGGGGACGAAGCCGCAGATGCAGACGAATTATTTTCACAAAGAAACGACGTGAAGAATTCTTTCAGTCAAAACGCGACCGGCTTTACAGCCATTTCCTCCCAAATGGTTTTTGTCCGCGGTTTGAACTGCGACATTTGAGACTCAGTCTGCTCTCTATTACTTTTAGTTCCGGCCGTTTCCTGTTATTCCGCGAGATTTATATCCGTTTCTATATACGGAAATGTACCGCGGAAATGTGTATCGCGTGCGTACCTTGCTGGTTATGAAAATACGCCACAAAATGCTGTCGAAAACAATAACTGTTGAATCCCGACAAGTTGACGTCTCTTTCAGATTTCTCTCAATCGCGGTATGTCGATTTTAACCGTTGTAATTGTTGGCGCGTTTACTAGGTTTGACTGATTGATACAGAATGTTGGTATCAAATTAACTGCCACAGAAAGTACGCGAATTCGTGAATCTTGTTTTCGAAGCATTCTTAAATGGCTAGATTGAGCGTTTGATCAGCGAGAAAATTCCAACGAAAAATTTCTCCCGGCCAGTGTGTCATTGGCACTTGATACCGCATTAAGAAATGAGTTCTCTTATCAATTGCATGTACGTCAGACCGCAACGCGCCATATCGCGTACCACATTTGAGAACGTTTCTCGCTAAATTGCGCCGCGGCGGAATTCGGCGGCACGAAAATTGGCCGCGTTACGCTTCGCCACATACATATGTGTGACTGTTTATATATATATAAACGTCATATATGTATATATGACGATGAAAATAATTTAATTCGCAATACCAACACACGCAACGTACCGTGGCGAATGCGCCAACCAAGTCATGTGTAACAGCCGCGTTAACTGGCGCGTACACGTGTATATATTTCTCGGCTTAAATATAACGAGCTTTCGCTACGAACGTCGCGGTGAAGGCAGCAGGGCGAAGAGGAGGAAGAGAGGGAAGAGGAGGCGGTGGGTTTCAGTTTGCAGGAAGCCCAGGATCGTTCCGCCTCTTCCTCCCGCGCGCGGCGGAACAATCCGGCTTTGTCTCGTGGAAGCGCGCTTCCTACACCACCACCTACCACTTGGCCACAATTTCAGCTTTTTAGACGTTACTGGCAGATTGAGGAAGCTACGAGTGCTAAAAGAAGCGAAACGATCGTTCAGGTCGTTCCGCGCTTTAAATGCGACGGGGACTCCCCGGGTCTCGCTTGGCCCGCCGTTGATGATAATTACGGCCGTTTGCGAAAGATTCGATTAATCCTAACAATCGCAGTCCGATTTTCGCGGGACAACCGCCAGATATTTCGTCCATTCTGCTACATTTCACTGAATATTTCATCAGCCCCTCTGTTATTTCTTATCCGATCTCTTGGTTTCGCTCGACGAATACAAACGACGGCTGTGACAATGCGTAAACTGAGTGGTCATAAAAGCGATATACATGATGTACAACTTCATTCTCGGCCCCTACATTCAATCAGTTACGGCACCTATACAATTTTAAATTTTATTCCTACCGCATGGTTAGAGGCTCTGTAATCAGGGACTGGCCATAAGAGTTCGTCAAATTCGAATCGTCAGAATGTGGCGTAGGCTTATATTTCTCTCTCGCTCGCAGGAATTTGACGAACTCTTATGGCCAGTCTCTGATTACAGGATCTCTACGCATGGTAGGTTTGAAACGCTATCCGTCGACTGTGAAACGCGGTAAAGTAGTTGGTGGTTGACATAACTTCAGAAACAGTAGGGACATAGTATAACTAGTAGGTCCACTCCGTCATTTGTTTCGTTTCGCGTCGATCCCTTCTGCGCATCCGACATTGTCCTGGGCAGACGAACAAGAGGAAAGTTGTATGTGTGGTAGCGTAGCTTTGATGAGTACGTATACACACACACACACGTCGCTGGATCCTGCCCGGGTGCATGGCGGAATACCACGTGATCGGGAGATCAAAGGGGTCGACAGAGAATGGACTCACTAGTTATACTATGGTAGGGACAGCGATGTCGTTCGAAAAGCAGGTATCTAAGGCCTTCTTTTCGCTTTCCAACTAAAGAGAATTGCCAGTGAGGCCAAAGAAATGATATGCTCGGCCTTAGGAAAAAATACTGTGTCTTGTAGTAAATGTAAAAAGTGGTTTCAAAAGTTTCGGGATGGCGTTTTCAATATGGACGATGACAAACGTCCTGGACAACGGTGAA